CGACAATTGAGATCCACCAGCGGTGCAGAAGCTCGGATGAGCGTGAAATTGAGGCGAGGTTACGCAGCTACAGGCCATCCGCCGGCGACGAGACCGGCCAACCGCCTGGGAAGGCACGATTCATGCAGTTGGAGAACAGAGAGTAAAAGGGCTAGGGTTCGCGATTGCAGAGAAAGGGGAACAGAGCTATCACTCTTGATATTTGTCAATACTGAATGAGTATGATTGAAATTGTGCCATGTCCAACAAAATAAAACAACGAAAAACTATTGGAGATGCTCTGAATTCGCCTATTGAGTACGATTGAAATTGTGTCATGTCACAACAAAATAAAGCAACAAAAAACTATTGAAAATGCTCGAATTCGCCTATTGAATACGATTAAAATTGCTTTGAAATATTAACATGTGTTGCAAGTTGCAACAACCTCAAACAAAGCAACTAACGTTTTCCTTGCTGACAAGTCATAGTTTACACTTTACTATTATCAATTAAATTAAATACTTCGCAATGTATTAAAGAATAACATTAATAAGTGTGTAAATCAGTTAATGGGATTTTTATAATTTATGCAAAATCATGTAAATCGTTAATTAATTATAGTAGTAACTAATAATAATAAAACAGCTAAGCGTAAAGGGTCCTCCTTCAAATAATACACTCAACACAGTAAAACAGATTGTACACCACACACCATTTCCACTTCGATTTCTCTCTCTAACGGCCTCTGCATATATCCTCCCCTCTCTCTTACTAACAGTCTGAGCTCTCTCTCTCTCTCTCTCTCTCTCTCTCTCTCTCTCTCTCTCTCTCTCTCACACACACACACACACACACACACACACACAAACACGCACACAGCTGCATCGTTTTCTGGTCCAAGAAAAACACACTTTTGTCTCTCCTGGAAAAATTCTGCAAATTTTCAAGCCACATTTTTAGCCTTTACGCTTCTCTCACTTTCTCTCTCTACTGGCAACAATGGAAGCTAATTCTTCCGGTGAGGATTGTACCGTGAAAGTGGCAGTTCATGTGAGGCCTCTGATTGGAGATGAGAGGCTTCAAGGATGTAAAGATTGTGTCACCGTAGTACCTGCAAAACCTCAGGTACTCTAATCAATTCTTAACGCGATGAAGAATTTTTTTGCTCTAGAATGTTCACTTTGCTTCAATTTTAAGGAAATTAATGCAATTATAATCAGTCGCCTTTTTCCTTTTCAGCTGGACTTGATTTGCTTTTTTTTTTTATAATTATTATTTTTGTGGAAGATCTGGTATTCAGTAATGATATATTTTTCCATTAATTTAAGCTTTTGTTAATGAATCCAGAAATTTTGAAGGCCATGCATGTTGCATAACTGTTTTTTAGTTTTGTTTTTGGAATCCAAAAGAAATATTTGTGTCCAGAAATTTGGAAATCTTTGAGGCTTGAGGTTGCCCTGGTAATTTTTATNNNNTTTTTTTTTTTTTTTTATTATTATTTTTGTAGAAATGTTATTTAGAAATTTATGATTTTGAGGGCAAAGTGGTTGATGAAAAGCCCGAAAGAACTTCTGATGTTCTGTGCCTCTCCGACCTGGAAGTTTTAATTTGCTTCTTTTTAATTTGATTTATCAGCCCAGAATGTAAATAAATACTCTTCTTTTGTCAGTTTGTTTTTTTTTTTTATTTTTATTTTTTTAAGCTGAACCAATGAACTAGAAATCAATAATATGTCTGAATAATGGTCCAATTGAGGCCTTCAGGTGGATACACGGATACAGATTTTTGGGAAATCTATGTTTATTGCCTTTTTGATGTATACTCTACTGAAGTATGAGGAAAAGAAAAACAAATTAAAAGGAAAAGAATAAGATTATTATGTTTTCTTTTGGCTTTTCTCCTCAACATTTCTGATCGAATTACTAAGGCGAATTATTTTGGGTTTTGGTTCCACAGGTACAAATCGGGACCCACTCGTTCACATTCGATCATGTTTATGGCAGTAATGGCTCCCCCTCAACCTCAATGTACGAAGAGTGCGTGGCCCCTCTTGTCGATGGTGTGTTTCAAGGCTATAATGCTACTGTTCTTGCTTATGGACAGGTAAATAGAAATCTTACAATCAGTTACAAGTTACTAAATGGAAATATGGGTTTTACGGAAAAAAAAAAGAAAAAAGAAAAAAAGAAAAGAAAAGCTGTAATTTGTTGTAAAATCTGAAAATTGTGATTTTCTTATACGAGGTCCATTATAGACGGGCTCCGGGAAAACATATACCATGGGAACTAGTGTAAGAGAAGGAAGTGAAAGCGGACTAGTTCCCAAAGTTATGAATGCTTTATTCAGCAGGATTGAGACGATGAAGCATGAAATTGAATTCCAGCTGCATGTTTCCTTCATAGAGGTTTGTTCTAATCTTTTATTCTACCCTCTTACAAATTTGTTGTGGTGCAGCATGTTGTGAATCAATATTGTTATGTTAAATGTACATGCATGTCCTCATTTTGAAAATATTTGAGTTACGGACTGGACAGATTTTCTTTTTTTTTT